CTACAGACTAGATTTAGATGAAGTTTGTGAGTCAGTATCATTAACAAGGTAAGACTTGGGCACTTGGGGAGGAAGATGAGTTTATTTTGTGCATAAAAGGTATAGGAATTGTGGTGGCCAGCAGGTGAATTGTGGTAGATTGTCTCCAAAGAGGAGTGTCATTATTTTCTTTGCTCCCTGTGTATGCTCCTAACATCAAGGAAGAGAAAATAATTCTGCTGCCCTTGAATTCTAGCTTACCTTAGTGACTCATCTGACATACAGAAAATAGTGGAGAGGATCTTCTAGGAGGTCTGAGGCTAGATCATACGAAGTTCTGCCATTTCCACACAGACCTGTTAAGAGCACACACTTCTGGGACATTCCCTCTGGGAACGAGCGACCATAGTGAGAGAAACCCAAGTCATATGGAGAGATTGTATGTAGACGCCGACAACTGACAGACCCAAGTGAGGCATCAGCTAAGAGTTACAATATTAGCCACATGAGTAAGCCCTCTTGGATCCTCTGCCCAGTCGAGCTTTCAGGGAACTCCAGCCTCAGATTTAAACTGGCTGTACTATAATAAGATCCCAAGCAAGAACTGCCTAGCTGAACCCAGTCAATCCATAAAACAATACGAGATATCCAAAAACTAAACTCACTGCCACTGAGTCATTGCTGATTCATAATGACCCCCATTGGGTTTCCAAGGCTGTAAATCATTATGGAAACAGATTGCTCCATCTTTCTTCAAGGAAGCAGCCAGTGGATTTGAACCAGATTACCAACCACATGCCTTTACCACTACACCACCAGAGATCCTTCATGAGAGATATAGGAGCGTTATTTTAATGCACTAAGTTTTGAGGTACTTAGTTATAGTTACTACTTAGTACTTACTCCTAAAATAACTACTAGTTTACTTACTACTAAAATATTTGACTATCAGGTCATATTTCACTCAACAGACAATAAGAAGTCCCTGGGGAAGAGTAGCAGGCCCTTTCTCAGAGCTGTGCATTGGCAGATTCCTTTGACATAACATATAAAGAATTGTGGACGTAGAGAAATTAAAGAGGAAAAAAAGCCATGGCAGTAGTTCAAGCAAAGTGTAAATGATGGCTTAGACTAACAGGAAGACAGGAGGGGATGGATGCCAGAGATGGGTAGAGGTAAAATCCAAAAGACTCTCCAATTGATGAAATTAAGGAATTTTTTAAAAGGCAGAAATCAAAGATGGTTCTGCCTACACAGCTAAAAAGAGAATGATGCTACTAACCAACATTGAGATCCAAGGCAAAGAGTATATGGAGGAAGCCAGAAAACATTAGAGGTGCTTGGAGGTCATCCAGGGAGAACCATTCAATGGCCAAGTAAATGGCAATGTGGATACGGAGTGCCTTTGGAACTAAGCATTTTTTACATCATTATGATATTCTGAAACCACTTAAGCCCAGAAAACTTCCTTTGCTTTGCTGTTGTTATCAGTTGCCATCAAGTAGATTCCAAATCAAGGTGATCCCGTGTGTGCCAGATTAGAACTATGTCCCACAAGGTTTTCAAGGCTGTGACCTTTTAGGGGCAGACCATTAGACCTGTTTTCTGAGGTATCTCTGGGTGGGTTGGAATTTCCAACTTTTCAGTTAGTAGTTGAATGCTTAACTGCTCGTATTACCCAGGGACACCTCTTTCACTTTACCACATTGTTAATGATTTATTTTTCAAGCTAATGCCTTCTTCCAACCAAAAGAAAGAGATGTAGGACTCCTTAAGTAACTTGCTGAAAATTAAAAGTACATAATGGTAAATTTGTAATAGTGGTTTAAATAAATGACTTCCAAGCTGAAAAAAAGTTTCTACTTGAAAAATTGAATTTTCAGATTTTCAAAGGTTATCTCAATATAATTTTGATTATATTTATATATTAGGTGGTATTTCTAACTATCTGCCTTAAACAACATGTTCACCACGTGACTTCTGAGTTTATGCTGTGGCAAAGGTGGCTCCTGCCCTGCCTGAGACAAGATGCTGAAGGAAGACTGAAATCCTTCCACCTGTCTCAGGTTTTTTCCTGTATTATCAGAGTGTCTAATCCTGCAAGTTTGCGTGTTGAGTTTCTTTACAGCTAGTCTCCTTAGGCAATTACACAAGTAGAGAGAAAAAGAAACATGTATTTACATTTAGGGATTAATTAAGGCTAGACTATTTATGACTTGTCAGAATGCCCTAACTCTTAATCACGCTTGCTTTCTAAACAAAGATTATGAATTCACATATTAAATACTCCCATGAAGTAAACTAGGCACATCAACATGTATTATATCCCTTTCAGTAGGTTATAAACTATTTTTTAACTAAATTATGTTAGGTTATAGCTATAGCTAATCTGCTACCTGCATGATCAAATTCATTTACATGTATTATTAATAGTCTATGGGATTTAGATCAGTGTTTCTCAACCTTTGTTTCTCAATTATCACTTGCCTAAAAAAAAAAAGACTTTTTAAACATTTTTTTCATAATCACTCCCCTCATACTGTTTAATACTACAAATAAATTGTTCATATGCTTATGTACCATATGCATATCTGTGCTTTATAGATAAAAAAGAGTGAAATATTTTTCAATTGATTCCCATAACCAATTTTCACCCTCTTTTTTGGGGAGGGACTATCTCCCTCATTGAAAATAATTTCTTATTCAAATTAGTAATTTAATAATTTCTTATTCAAATAGGAAATATGTTATAATTAAAATAAAGCCAAGCTCTAGAATTATCATAGAAGGACAGTAAAGAATATGAAAGAGGCTCATAGCCACATTTCTGAAAAGTCCCATTTAAAGACTGAGAACTGCAGAAAATTACTTAACTTTCAGTATCTGCTAAATCATAGCATTTTAAAGACCATGATCATTCCTTCATTCTTCACCAATTTTACTGAGATCAGTAACTGAGATAATTTGTGGCTAACAAGTAAAATATAGATTTTGAAAACAAAAATACAAGAAGTTCTATGCACGAGGCTCTACAGTACAAAGTGGATAATAAAAACAAGAATCTGACCGTCAGAAGTATTCCCAAGGTCCCTAACTATGGTGGCATTGACATTTAGTAGAACAGAATTGTAAAGAAATATTAAGATGAAGAGCACTATTTACATATACACGATTTAAAAAAAAATCAGAAAATGATCATTTTATTAGTAGCCTCAACCAGTCCATGTATGATTACCTATAATTAAAAATCTTCAATATTAAAGCTCAGAAGTATTTTTCTCCTTGATTAATCTACCTGTATCTCTTAACTTCCTTCCTCTAGAATAAATAAGGGTAAGATATCAGTGACTGCTGGCTAAGGCTGGGACAGTATGGGAAAGGGAAAAGCCACAAGGCATATACCTTCCTCTGACCCACTGTGGTCCCAAGCACATCTCATTCTACCCACTTACACCAACCTACTCACCCCACCATATGTTCGTAGGGAAACCAACGGTAGGTATTTAGAGCTACAAAAGACAATAGGGTGATTGTGAGGTAGGGTACAAATTACCTACGCAAGAATAATTAGTTTTATAATCAGCAAAAACAAAGACCTTCCCCACCCAAATAAATGAGTTTAAAGGTTAATAGATAAGAGGATTATGCACAAGTAGATTTACTAACACCACGGTTCAACAGGGACATAATATTTCAGGAACAGGCATACAACATCAAATGCATTGAAGTATTATTCATTTTGAAACAAAGAAAGTCATAATGCTTTATAATTTTATCAGATTTTTCTTTCACTGTCCTTATTTTTTCATCCTAACAGACCTAGCAAACTGAAAGCTTTTCAAACTTCAACAATGTTACTTATACTTTAATATTACTACAAAATAGTTATTTATTTTCTTGTTCTAAGCTACAAGAAGTCTATAAAGTCTCTACTCAATGATGAAATTTAGCTTTAGTCTAAGCCTAAGTGAAATCTCAACTTTTCCAGTCACTCTATACATATTTTTTTCTATAATGTTCAGGTCCATATGTTTTCAATGGGAGCTCTGGCGATGTAGTGCCTAAGGCATTTGACTGCTAACCAGAAGGCTGGTGGTTCAAATCCACCAGCCACTCCTTGGAAGGAAGGTTCAGCAATCTATTTCTGTAGTGATACTGCCTTGAAAACCCAAGAAGGGGTCACTATGAGTCAGATCCAACTCAATGGCAGTGAGACGGAGAGAGGAGTTAAAATGAATTATGCCTTACATGATTAAACTTTTAGCCAACAATTTGGAAGACATAAAACTAAACTTCTCGATTTAAGAAAGGAAAAAGTCCTATTTAAAAAATAATATGCTGGCTCTCTGGGTACACTGCAAAATGATCTACTGATTGATATAAAGCAGATGATTTGATGATTAAAAAAATAGTGATAAAACAATAAAACACTTCCTTGTAAATAAGATAGCACCACTGAATAAAGGCCTGGATTTTAGTTCAACTCAACACCTTTCCCACTAACTTCAGCACAAAGCGATAGCAGTAAAAGGAGGCTTTGTGACAAGCACAATGTATCTAGTGAGTAATTCACATTAGGAACCCAGATCTTTAGTAATAATCATCTTTCTTCTCTCATCTTAAATAAATAGGACCAACGAATTCATGAAAACAAGATAACTAAGGAAAATGTCATTAAACAAAAACAATCTAAACATAGACAGTATTAAATAAGAATTTTTTTTCATAAAGATATATGTTTACCATCTTATATGAAGTATATGTGAGAAATATTAATTACATAATAGTTTATTCCACAAATGTACCAAACACTGTGTTACCTATTAGCATTGAACATGATACAGATCTTGGTCTCAAGCTCAGACTGATAGAAGAAAACCCATTTCTTCAGTAATTTTTAAATTAATATATTGAATACTGAAATACTGCCCCCAAATATATGCTTTAGAGACAAGAACTATGAAAACTAAAAAAGTCAAACCAGAAAAGTGTTAAAGGTTTACGGAAAATTAAGTATTTACCTTGGGTCCGTACTCAGCCTTATAATATTTTTCTGTGGCAGAGAATCTTGTGATTTTTGTTCCATATCCTATTAAAAAAAAATTACTTTTAAAATTCAAGTTTCAAAATTAGCTAGGTAATAGTATCTGGCAAAAAATTTTAAGAAAGGCCATTAAGAAGGGAAAAAAACCCTCTTTCTAGCTACTTCTTGTTGTTATTAGTTGCTGTTGAGTTAATTCTAACTCATGGAGGTAATACAACTCATGAAAGTAGTAAGTTCTCTCATCAGACTGAAAGACCCTATGAATAAATGTAAGTTTGAGTAGACAGTTCCACAGAGTTTTCAAGGCTGTGACCTTTCAAAAGCAGATCACAATGCATATCTTCTGAGTTGCCTATATTGGTTTTAACCACCAACCAATAGGCCAATAGTCAAGTGTATAACTGTTGGTGCCACCCAGAGATAAAGTCCATCAAGCTTCAAAATAAAAAATCCTTCTGTGTGTGTGTGTATGTATGTGTGTGTGTGTGTGTAGTTAGATTGCTAGTACAACATATGCTACAGGAGAAGACCAAACTGAGGCTATAGTCTACAATGCATAGCTCAAACTAGAAACAAAATAAATCAGAGTTCCAGGGACAACTCTACAAAGGGTTTTACTACCTTACATTTGTATACTTTTCGAATCCTTTAGAAATGTATGTTCATTTCATGCAGTTTTTACATTATTATGGAAATATATAATTATGACTTGATCACGAGCACCAAATACATGAAAATATTAAAGCTTCATCTCTGATTCCTGACATGTAAATTCAAATTACATGCAAAATTACAAAGCCTATCACTCACTACACACGCCATCCACTATTTTCTCTAGGCCTCAAGGTAAATGCACAATGAATATAAAATGTTAGTTGTCAAGTGAAAGAGAGTTACAATTAACTATTTTGTCAATTATTCTTCCTTGCTGTAGATGAAATAAAGAAGGAAAAGTGTGCTTCTCCCTTTTTGTTGTATTAGTTCATATGACTGTCACCATACGAGTCACGGCAGATATTATCCTCCCATTTTATAGGGAAAGGAGTGAAGGCACAGATGTTTAGTAAATTTTTCAAGGCCCATGCCATCAGGTACAGGGTTTGAGGCTATAGCTGGTCTAATGCCTCAATTATTATTATGTCACACACCTGAGCACAGCCCACAGTATGGATTTCAGCCTGAAGTCAGAACACATTTTGGGATTATTAAAATTCAAGATTAGCAAAAGATTCAGGGCTGACAAAAACTGAAATGTCAAGGGAGTTCTAACTAAAACCAAGCAAAACAACTAAATATAACACTGGTTGAGTTGCCTCACAGTATCACGTTAGTAGTATTCTGAAAGCCCAGCTCATACATTTTACACACACATTTCATTTTTCAGCCTTAGGTTTAGTCAGAAGTACCTTCCATTTGACTCTACCTGAACAAAATACATGTATACATCAAATACAGAGAGATTTACAGGAAAGAAGGACCTACGTATAAATCATATAAAGCGGCACAAAACCTTTCAAATAATGTACCAATAACTGTATTTCAATGTATATTTTCATTGAACTTCTCATCCCCTTTTTCAATCCAAGAACAAAAGAATAACACGTTCTTATGATGCATATAAAAGATAGCAACTAACCATCTCTAAGAAGTTATCAGAAGAGTAAGAGTCATACGTATGCTTGTCCTTTAAAATAAGAAGAAGTGCAGAATCTCCAATTATCTTCTTCAAATTCATTAGTGAATGAAAAAGTCTGTGAATAAAAATATTTTACTAATCTGAGAAGTAATTCAAAAATCTGCATACAATATTCTTAGTTTCTTTAACAATGGCCAAACACCAGTAACTTTATCCTGTGATCACAAAGTGAAACTTACAATGAACCTGTAAGAAACTGGTTATTTTTCTTCAAGAACTAAGAACTGAGAAAAAACGTTAATTAGAAGATTCAACGGGTAAGATTTTAAAATAGAAAATTTTCTGGATGTACCTGAAACCATTTACTCAAATTTCTTATACTTTCTACGAATATTGTACCAAATAATAAGAATAACCAGCATGATTTCCCCAACAGCTATAAGGTATTCTATCAAACAACGACTGATACATTAAGAGAAGCTTTAATACGAGTTGAAACAAAAAGAAAAGAAGACATAACTCAGTTCACAAAAAATTCAATCAGTATACACCATCACCCCAGAATTCAAATAGATATCTTGTTGTATTTAATTGGACACTCTTGCACAAAAGAAGTAGACGAGAGAATATTTTACAGATCTAGATAATGAAATTGTCTTCATCCTTCTTACTTTTCTTGGCCACTGAAATTTTAACCATATTGTATTTTTGTATCTGTGGTGTCAAAAGTATGTTTATGAATCAATTCATTCAAGATAAATTCTGGAGCACAACCTCAGTCTGTTACCAGCTATTCCTGAAGCACTACAAATTGGCGGGGGGGGGGGGGGGGGGGGGGGGGGGGGGGGGGGGGGGGGGGGGGGGGGGGGGGGGGGGGGGGGGGGGGGGGGGGGGGGGGGGGGGGGGGGGGCTTGCTTGATGTTTTCTTCAAATTCAAATTCAGTCATATTTCTCTCAGGGTCTATGGAGGCATCCTAAGTAGATACACACTGAAGAAATGTGTAGAGAAACGCTGATGTTCCTGAAATAACTATCAGAATGAATCTATGTACTGTTTTCCTCAACACAGAAAGCAACTTTGGACCTAACGCCTTAAAGACATTTTTTGTTCGCATGCAATAACAAAAAAATATCAATAAACATATTATCGATGACTTCTTTTTGCAGAGCATTAAGATGTTCTTTAAAGACTAAAATAACCATGATCAATAATTTACTAATTAAATATACTGACATAGTAAATCTATAACTTTAGTACTATAATCTTATGTATTTGAGTTCACGTCATCATCTAGCTGTATTTCTTAGTCCTATTCAAATATTTTGGAGCTCTGGTAGTGTAGTACCTAAGGCACTTGACTGCTAACCAGAAGGCCAGTGGTTCAAATCCACCAGCCACTCCTCGGAAGGAAGGTTGAGCAACTACTTCCGTAGTGATACTACCTTGGAAACCCAAGGAGTCCCTGTGAGTCGGATCCGACTCGATGGCAAATAACAACATTCAAATGTTTTCCTAGAAATTAATAAGTACTCTCAAAAGACTGAAAGACCCTATGAATAAATATAGCTCAGTCAACAAAACAAGACCCTCAGTCTAAGTTTCCTTCTATTTTCTACATGGTCATCTTTACTCTTTAAATAGTCAGAACCTGGAGAATGAGAAACAAGTTCTTCACCAGCTAAAACCTTATACGCATTACAGGGTATTAAAGAGTCTTACTTCCAATTGTGTGAAGTCACGGATGGATGCCCACATCCTAAAGGCACATATGTACCTGTCTACTGAGATAAGCCCTAAAGACTCTAACACAGCATTCTCCAAATGTTTTCTAAGGATATAAAAAGATATTTTGCTTAAAAGTAAACATGGCAAATAAATTTGGGAAACATTGGGCAAAACAAAATTCAAAATGTTTCATCAATGTGGGACTTTTCAGAGTTACTAATATCCTAATACGAAGTTAATCCTGTTTACATGAAATACAACTCCGGAAACACTGTCCAGGAACATTTACAATTTTCCAGTTTGTTGTCACTGCTATTATTTTAAGATGTCAGAATGCCTGCTCTTAACAATTTGACAGGTTAGTTCCCTCACCCTCACCTTTATCCTTTCTTCAGTTTTCTCTTACCTACCTTAATTCCAATTGAGCAATAGGTAGAATTCTAAAACCCTCCTTCTAATTGGCCTCATTACCATTTTGTCTGGGAGCTCTGGGAGCATAGTGGCTAAGACACTTGCCTGCTAACCAGACGGCTGGTGGTTCAAACCCACCAGCCACTCCTCGGAAGGAAGGTTGGGCAATCCTACTTCTGTAGTGATGCTGCCTCGGAAACCCAAGGAGGGGTCGCTATGAGTCGGGTTTGACTCGACGGCACATAACAACAACAACAACAACCATTTTGTCTTCAGCTCCAAAAACTTCCATTTTCCACTTTTTAAGCCGAATCTTCATTACAGTGTCCCAGTCTCATTCATTTCTTCCCACCACAAATAAAATTAACTTCCAAGTGTGACATGATGTATTCTCACTCTCCAGTTTATGATTATATAAACATTCAATCTACAGCTGAGAACATGACTATAAGGGTCACCTTTAGGATGGAAAAGAAGAAAGCCAGAAGGGCGTGGATCCCTGATGACACTGTGAAGCTGTCAGATCTGAACCAGTTGCCTGCAGACTTCTTCACACAACATAAAAATACACAAGATAGAATTTACTCTCGTTCCAGATGCTGTTTTGAGAGCCAAATGCAATTCCTAAGCCACACACCCTTAATAATGACATTTCTGACAATATCTGAAAGAACAGTAGTCAATAATCTAAGTATAAAAGAATACACAATGCTAGCTGCTTCTCTGTTTATAATTCTTTAACTTGTGTTTTGAAATTTCCTACTTAAAATGCCTGTGCTAATGACTTGATAATCATTTGTAACTTTTCAATGAAGTGTGAAGTGGTCACAGAGCAAATTTATAAATGTCGAATTCAATTTGAGAATTACTATGTCATCTTTTATTTCCTCTAAAATGCAATTTGTACTGAGAGGTTTTCTTAAGTTAAAAGTAATGCAAAATATATGGAGGAAATAATGACTAACCCTCTGGAAAGGTCATGAGACAGAAAATGTTCTATAGCAAAAACTCAATGACCTGTACCCAAACCTCTTTTCAACATGGTAGCCAGACAGTAAGTGAAAAGGCAATATGGGAGAATAACTCCTCTATTTCTTCTTAGGAGCTTTGCTCTTGTCTGCTTGTAAGCAGTCACACATTTAAACTTTCAATAAACCAAGAAGGCATGAACAAGTGAAAGGGAAAAATAGAGGCTATGAGCTTTCTTTCAAAAATGCTTTCTATGGAAAAAACACCAACATCATTATCTAATGAGTGTTTTCCACTTTTAGTACAGTTCAACCTTGACAGATAATGTCAAACACATTTACTACAGAAAACCAAGAAGATATTCAAGATACTACCCTGAATATTATTTTTAAGGACTGACTCAGGTTCACTAATGAAACCTCAAGAATGTTTTTTCCTCTAACTTTGGTAAAAGAAAAACAATATTGCAACTGAAAATTTAATACTCACTATAATTAATAAATACCAATTTGGGATCAACTTTTAATGTTGATTTTATATGCTCTGTACACTTTTCACATACAGGGATATTTTCACAAAGTAAGTCTATAAGTTTTTAAGAAAATTACAACATATCTTTAATGATTTAAAAATATTATCAACATATACCTTTGAACTTCTACTTCCTCATTCATCTGATAACTGAAGTGTTACTCCCTCATTCATCTGATAGCCCATCAGAGAGCTAAAAATACCTTTGATATCAACACCCAGGCCATCCTTCTTATCCCCAATACCTTAGATCATCCATATATGACAAGATCTCTAGGTCCTTTTCCTTCCTGGCTATGCTTTTCAGTGAAGTCTATTTTTGGGGGGAGGGGGGGAGTGGCCAATAACATTCACCAAAAAAAAAAAAGATGCATCTAAGAACAAGTGGATAAGAAAAAGGATGAAAGCAGACTGGTATAAAATGAAGTGGGCCTCTTCATCTCACTGGATTATAACTACAATATACTTGATGTCAAATTCTTGGTCAAAAAGGAAACCTCAATTATCACACTGTACTCATGAGAAAATAGGATTGGCTTTATAAAACTGTTTTACTATTCTTTTCCAGAAAGGTACTGCAATAAAAAGTTGAGACAGCTAGTGTTCTTGTCAACTGATTTCTTGGAACATACTTTGAAAGATGGTATTTCTGTCTGTTTATTTTCTTTTGCTAAAGTAATACTTATAAGGGATACCATTATTAACGCAGACTGACAGATATTAAAAACTTTACCAAAAGATGTATCTATGACTCAAATTCTAATTTTAAAAAAAATCCTTTTTAAAGATCACTCTTCAGTAATTACATTACCTGGTACCATAATCCACAACTACCCAATCTTTTGCGGTTCCTGTGATAGCATCATGATGTTGAAACAGTCCCAGATTCCTTCTGGCTTCTGTCAGTGCCATGTAATGTGATGATGAAAGAAATTTACTTATCTTGTATTTCTGAGCTTGTCTCAGGGCGAAATAGTAAAGGATTTCAGCAGCCCTAGTTGCATAAAACAATCATTAATTTTCATTTCAAAACTAATATTTTGCTTTACTATCTAAAATATATGACATTGATACCTTCGTAAATGGTTTTTATTTAACTCACAATTTCTGTACACTTGAAGAAATCTATTGATAATAAACATTTCTTATAAAACTATCAAAGTATGCATTAGGGACTGAATTGTGGGCACCAATAACATATGTTGTAATTCCTAACACCTATTGTTTGGAAAGGAGCACTGGTGGCATAGTGCCTAAGGCATCTGACTGCTAACCAGAAGGCTGGTAGTTCAAACCCACCAGCCACTCCTCAGAAGGAAGGTTGGCAGATTGACTTCCGCAGTGATACCACTTCGGAAACCAAAGGAGGGGTTGCTATGAGTCGGGATCATCTCACGGCAGTGACTTTGGTATAGCTTCAGAAGTAATCCCATTTGGGAATATCAGTGTAGGGTGTATCTTACACCAATCACTTTTGAGACAGAAATGGAACAGATTAAGCACAGAAACAAGCAAGAATGAATGGGGAGAGAAAGATGCTATGTGGAGATCTCCAACGAAAGCCAAGAAGAATGCCAGAGAAGCTGAGACAGGATTTTCCCCCAGAGCAGAGAAAGCCTTCCCCTTGATTCACTACCCTAAATTTAGACTTCTAGCCCCCTAACCTGTGAGAAAATAAATTATGTTAAAGCTACTCACTTGGAGCATTTCTGTTATAGCAGCAGTAAGGAAGTAAGACAGTACACATCTAATATATTTAAATTCTCAATTGTCAAAGAACCCTGGGTGTACAATAATAGTGGCCCTTGTTCCAAATGATGCTAAAGAGAAGCCAGCACTACTTAGCAGCAAGATAGGTTCATTTATGTACAACATAATGAAAAGTTATCTGAGCAGTAAGAAGTGATTAATTCTCTCTGTCCTTACCTTGGTGATGAGGGTCGGATTAAGTGTCGAATGACAACATATAACAACTATAGAAAATTTAACAATGTAAACTAAAAGATGATGAAACATATGTTGTCCTCCTCTTTTATTTTAAAGAAAAGAAAAAACACTTTAGTCTAAGGGTAGGATTTAAGTAAGAATATAGGAATATGTGTTTTCTATTTTATGTTTCTTCATCAGGCAACATGGTTCAAGACATTGCTATTGCTGTTGGGTGCCACTGAATTGATTCCGACTCACAGAAACTCTATGGGACAGAGTAGAAGTGCCCTCACAGGGTTCTCTAGGCTGTCATCTTTACAGGAGTAATAACCAGTCTCTCTCCCAAGGAGCCGATGGGTGAGTTCGAACTACCAATCTTAACCTAGCACTTAATTTCAGGTCTCTAAAAAGCTCCTTACAAGGAGACATATGATTTCAGAGAGTAAAAATTATTAGAAAATTCTTTATGCTAAATGTTACTGAAGATTAAGAGAGAAAAATAAAGGCATCTTAAAAAAATGTATTAAAATATCAGGAAAAAGGAAATATTGGAAGTGTGTCTTTTGCTGTTGGTTGGTTTTAAAAAAATGATGAGTTCTTTTAAATTGTAGATATAATCAAAGATTCTAAACATTCTCTACTTTAAATTTTAACTTTCCCTAAAATCCTGGCACAAAAATCACTAAATTTGAATTAAGTAAACGGTGTATATGTGCTCAAAAATAACCACAGCTAATATAATATTCCTAGTTTCAAAAAGAGTACCTATTTATATACAGTGCCAGTAAATCAACTCCTGTGGAGTTGATTCGAACTTGGCGACCCGATCTGTTGCTGAGCAGAACTGCTCCACGGGGCTTTCAAGCCAGTGACTTTTTGGAAGAAGACTGCCAGGCCTTTCTTCCAAGGCACCTTTGGGTGGGTTCAAACTGCAAACTGTTGATTAGTAGTCGAGTGCTTAAACCCTGGGTGGTTTGTGCCACCCAGGGACTCCGAGTTACTTACACGAAAGTTCACTTTTTAACATCTGTATTATCTGTATATTTAATGAATATATATTTATACATAAACATACCTCAAAATGTTAAAAAGTCAGTTAGTGGGTTTTTAAATACTTCTTTATATTTTATTCACATTTTAATGTATGCATGAGGATGAATTATTGCTATTATCAGATAATTAATTAATTTTGAAATTATTTTATATTTTTTAAACAATTTGTAATATGTAACTATTTCACCTTAAATATGTTCAATAAATTAATATTAAGGCAACATTCACAACTTCATGTTGCTAAAAATTATCTGACAATTAAGAATCATTAGCAGCAGTCTAAGAGAATTTCCACATTACACTAGCACTTGCTCTATTTTATCACCGAAAGTTTAGAAAACATGACAGATAAATGATTGACAATCTTTTGGTAAGAATGCACAAATCTCTGTGACACAGAAATACGCTATTACTATAAAGACAATAATATGTATTCATCTGGTACATTTGTGACTATCCCAAATAATAAACAGTAATAGTAATAAAAACATACACTAAGTCAACCAAAGCACAATTCTATAGGAAATTAATTAATTTTATAAAATGCCTTTCCAAAATGTATTATGTATTATTTCTACCAGTACACATATATATATATAA